GGTGACATCATCATCCTAACCTTCATATTTGCATCTGCAAACTGGTACCATGGAGACCATCATTATCAGCAGCCTCTATTTTTTGTTAGTATAATGACAAGGTGCAGGTAAAAAAGGAATATCATTAGGAGTCCAGGTTATAGACATAAAACGTTGAAACCTGAATTTATTTTTCCATTAATAGAAATTGCGCACTATGCATGACATGTACTGGTAATTAATGGTCCCACTTGCAAGTTTTTTGCCAAAGTGGGGGGGTGATGGTGTCAGGATGAAAAACCTAGGTGCTTGAGAAAGAAAGGGAAAAGAACACATTTTCTTACCATGGGAATAGGCTGCTCAGGACTGAGACGCTTGAACTCTTTTCTTACTTCAGGATGCTCAATTCTTCTGCTCAGGCAACTAACTGCATTTAAAGCTGCAATGACATTTCCAAAAATTCACTTTCCTCTCTTTGCCAATAAATTTCTCTTCCTCATTAGTCTACAACTCAAAGAGGACAGCTTCCAGAAAAGAATTAATATTTACTGAGCATCTCCCAAAGTCTGGCATTGTGCTAAATACCTTTCCAGATAGAATCAAATTTCGTTCTAAATATTACTAGTTTCATAGATGAGACTATTGGAACTCATCACATCCACTTAATATGAAAAGACAGGCAATTAGTACAGAGAAAATTCAAGATGAGAAGTAAGGTCTGTTGGACTCCGAATTCTGAGAGGTTTGCTTACTGAAATCTTTATGAAAGAAAAGGATCTGAGAACTCTCCTGATGGAAGTTTCAAAATGAGTAGAACACTTTTGTTTTTCTGCCTCATTTTAAAGAGCCAATTTGCCATGTCCCTGAAAGTATGTCCTTGGTCAAACGCTATTATTTTTATTTCACCAATAAATCTCAGGAATGTGTATGCGGGGAACCTCTCAAGGACAGGAAATGACTGGCTAGTTAAAATGATTGTATTAGGCTTAAGGGACCATATGGGGTGCCTGGGATCAAGCCTGGGTCTGCCACATGCAAGGCAAGTGCCCAGCTCCAATAGTTTAGAAAGAAGGAAAGTCTGAGGATGTGAAAGTAATGACTAGTCTGAAGTTTCTATTATTGTTAGTTTCTTTTCCCATTTGTTTCTTGAAATTTGGGGGTTTTGAAGACCTTGTCTTTATAGACAAGCTCTCTCTGTTGGTGTTCAAAGAGATCAAAGTATAACCAAGGAAGACCATAAAAGGTTGCATCCCTGAGTGTTCTGAAATGCCTGTCCTGTAAAGATAGTTCACCCTGACATGAGTGTTGAGGCCACTTGGACGTGAGAGGAAATATTTTATTCATTAGAGCAACATTGACCACCTCAGTTGTTCAGTTAGACATATTTTATCCCTACCATTTTCTCTTATAGGTATACGATCTTCACAAACCCTGGAAGATCTTAGTCCTGGGTTTCATATTTTCTAATTGAAGGATTTCTTGAGTTCTCTGGAAGCAAATCTCAGAGGATAACCTTTGGCTTTTATGATGGATGCTATTTCATTCCAACAACAACCCCATGAGGCATGCTTGGTACCCCCTGCAGTGTCCTCATTTCAAAGATGAACAAGAGAATCTCCAGATCTGAGTTCCTAAACTTATTTGGCTTACTACAATCTTAAAAAATATCACTCAGTATCCTTTGAAAATCTGCCTTAAAAAAATGAAAGTGCCTTCCAATTGTACGAAAAACATTCGAAGCTCATGGAGATTTTTCTAGCACCCTGAGGGGGAGGGGTGACATAGTATTGTTCACTTTGGAAAATGATGCTGATTCTAAAAGTGGTAGGTAATTGGGGTTGCCCAAGAAAAGACCTTTCACCTATTTCTCTCTTACCTTTGTAAGTGTTCTTATAGCCTGTAGTTGAAACAAGCTTGATTTCTGGAAGAGATCTTTAAAAGTTCTCCAGATTCTATCAACCTATACCTTGGGCATAGTTTAATCTGCTGGTTCCTGGATGTATTTATACAAAAGCTCTTCAGTATGACTGAGAAGCTTATATAGTTCAGAAAAAGAAACATCTTGAATTTATGTGCTGGAATCCTTCTCAGATCCATGTTTTCCATTAGTGTTTGATGTTCAGTTAACTTCACATAAAAGCCAGCTCACTGTGATCTGGAATTTCAGTCCTACACAAATAGCTTAATGAAGACTAAATCTTAAATTGCCATTTTCCTGGGTTTAAAAGAACAAAAACCCAAGTTCTTCTCACAACACCACCAACCACCTCAACCAAAGCAGAGCAGAACCTGTAAGACAAATTTAGTAACTGATCTTTCAGTGAGTCAGAGAGGTATTTAACCACAATTTTCATTTCTTTTTAAATTTAATGTTGGTATTTATTTCTGATAGCATTCATGACATTTCAGATTATTAAAATGGGATAGGTAGTATAACATTTAATTTTTAAAAGTCTTAGAACAAAAAATTTATGAGGAAAAATTACTATTTTGAAATAATGTATTATAGATGTGTAGTTGTTAAGCAGAGGACTGCTCTCCACATAGAACAGGAAAGAAGAGTCAGAAACTGAATCTTCATTTAATATTTAATTTGATTCTTTGTAAAATATTTTTTGATGTTTCCGAGGCCACCAAAAGTTTCTCCACTGAGAAGAGACAACTTTGCTAATCACATGATCAGAAAATACAGAAATGAGGGCTAGCTGTTCTGTCTTGTTTTGATCGAGACATTGGCAGAGAAGGGCAAAGGATGTATAATTCCAAAGTTTACCAAATCCAACATGTACACACACCTTAACTTCCGCAATACTCTAATATCTGCTCATTCCTAATGACACTGGATCTGCCATATATCTGTAGATGCCTTATATGTACATTATATGTGTGTGCATGTATACATATACATATAGGTGTGTTTAGATATATATGTACCATATTTAGACTCCATTACATTTTAAACCTCAAATAATACATCTATTGAGTATTTTTCTCCTAGGTTTTTATTTTATTGGTTTAAAATGGTTTATTGCCAAACCATGATACTGTCAATAAATTCATATCCTGAATTATTAAGTCCAATTCTTGATCTTGCAAAGGTCCATTGCCTATTGGACCATCAAGTTATAACATTCCTCTAACATCTCAATGTAAGGTAAAAGGTAAAGGCCCTCCCGTTGATCGTCGATTTGCTCGAGCGGGCCCAGTAACGTCTCCATTGGAGACTTTGTTGTTACTGTGTCTGGCATATCCAATACTCTCGGTAGCTTGCCGGGCTCTCCGAGAGGGGGGAGGAATCGAACTCGGGTCGGCCATGTTGGCCGCTTGTAAGGCGAACGCCCTACCGCTGTGCTAATGGTTGGTTTTCTCTTATGGACAGAGGCAGGAGATACTGAGAGATCAGCTTGTGGATATGGATGCATGATTCTACAGAAAGTTTTCTACCATTTTACAACTCTAATATTTTTCCCTCAGAGCATACATTCTTGGGGGATGAGAGGGAGCAAGATTCATTTCTGACTCTTTTTGATAAACAAAGGATAAGGAAGCATGTGGTGGGGACACTTAGGTGACATGAGAAATATATATGAAGGCCGCCCTCTAAAATTCTAATGAAATCTTTCCTAGACCACAATTATACCATTAGCTCAGTGAATATTTATTGTTTGTCCACTCTGTGTCCAGTGCTGGAGAGATTGAGATGAATCAGATGCATGCTCTTTCTGCCCCCAAGTTTGGGGTCTGGGAGAGATTGGTGTGTCAACAGATATGAACCGAATTGCAGGAGACCGAGATCTAGGGAAATAGCAGAGCTATGGCCACTGAGCAGATGGTGAAACAGAGGTTTCAGAAGATGAGTTGGGATTGGGTTGAGGGCTGGAGATTCGCCTGTAATGTTGAAGCAACGGGGAGGTAGGCAGTTGTGCACTGGGAAAAAGGCAAACAGATTTAAGTGTGCAGTGAGATAGGACTGAGTTGCTCCTAGTTGACCCAACTGACCCAACTGACCAAAAGCAAAGCTGGAGGAGGAATGTGTCCCCACGCAGAAGTGAGCTGTATGTTGTGGACAACAAGGAACACTTGGGACCTTTCAGCAGGAGGCGGATCATCATTAACTAAGTGACCATTGATGCCTGCATTCAACAAAAGTAAAGTGTAAACTTTACTGTTGAATTTATAAAATAGATCCTCTTTCCAGACATTCTTTTCCCAGAAGACTGTTGCTTGGGACACTGTACAGTATGAGAAAGATGGGAGGGTGGATTAGAAATCTGAGAGCAAGCAGAACTCCCAAAGTGGCCCAAGACATATCAGGAAGTCAAGGGAGTACAAAAAGGAAAAGGCTTTGGCTCATTTTCTCTCTTACCTTTCTCATGATTGTCTGTGCCAACATAGGGTCAGTGGTGAAAGCCCACACATTCTGGTGGTAGTTGATAAAAGGCGGTAGCAATACCCAAACAGAGAAGAGGAGGTAGAACTTGCTAAAGGAAGACTCTTCGTGTCCATCAAGTGATCTCAGGGTAGTCAAATACTTCCCAAATGCAAGGGCTGGTTCTGTAACTCTCAGTTTCCAAATAAGTTCAGTTTCTATAGTTACCTACATCCAAATACAGCTGAGAGGACTGGAGAGAAAATAGAGTTAAGGTGCTCGGCTTGAACTTGGGTTTAATCTCTGGCATTATACAAGGCCCTGAATATCATGGGATACACCCCTTATGTGCCACTGGATGTGGCCTTGGAGACACCCCCCCCCCCCCAAGCATCCCTGAGGTTGATCAGGTAATTCCTGATTTACTGGTGCTGCATTCAACCCTTGGCTTTGGCTGAGGTCTGTGGGGAGTTTTCTTAAGCAACTTTTGGGAGCCCGGCTCCTCCCAAAAGGAAAATTGAATAAAGTACAAGGGGGAAAGATTTGGGAGGTGCTCCCCTCAGCAATCGATCTTCAGAGTATCTAGAAAGGAGTCAATGGGAAGGCTGTGATTGGCAGGTTAACGTGATGCCTCTCTCGCTTCTTCCCGCAGATAACACTGCGGGGGTGTACGCCCGGCGAGGAGGATTCAGCCGGCAGAAGCAGGATTTGTACCTGCTGCCCATCGTCATCAGTGACGGGGGAATCCCACCCATGAGCAGCACCAACACCCTCACCATTAAGGTCTGCGGGTGCGACGTGAACGGGGTGCTGCTGTCCTGCAATGCAGAGGCCTACATCCTGAACGCCGGCCTGAGCACAGGGGCGCTGATCGCCATCCTCGCCTGCATCGTCATTCTCTTGGGTAAGGGTTCCCCTGCTGCTACCCCTGCTGCACAGGCCTGGTCCCTTGCTGCCCTCCTGGAAGGCCGTGGAGATGGGCTGGCTGCCAGGAGGTTCTCTGGTTTGTGGATATAATCCCGGATAAAGAGCCGGCAGAGCCTGCCTCTGTGTGATAGCCCAGGATTTCTTGAATGATCACCCCTTTTCAACGAGAGGTGTGCACCCCAGCACAGCCAATAGGGATCTAAGGAGATTTCTCTAATTGCCCACTCAGAATTCACCGTGAGGTTCCTTTTACATTCTTTTTTTTTTTCTTTTTGGGTCACACCAGTGATGTACAGGCATTACTCTTGGCTCTGTACTCAGGAATTACTCCTGACTCTGCACACAGGAGTTACTCCTGGCGATGCTCAGGGGACCATATGGGATGCTGGGAGTTGAACCACGATTGCTTGCATGCAAAGCAAATGCCCTACCTGCTGTGCTATCGCTCCAGCCCCTCCTTTCACATTCTTGACGGTTGCGTGTACAAAAATCTTTTGCCATTGCCAAATGTTGAGTGAACCTTCACGTTCAGCAAGGAAGCTTGTTTTGGCATGACCCCCATGTTCAGTTAGATGACCCCACAGCCTAAGAGGTTTGAGAAGCAATTCAACCAGCAGGTAAGCAAGGTCAGGACAAGGTTTCAAGATAAGCAAATAGGGACCTACGTGGGCACACACTGACAATGTCGAGGCCACAAGTTCCATCCCTGGTAGCACATTGTGCCCGTTCACCCAGCACTGCTGGGTGCAGTCCTGGTGCCTTGCACCCACACCCACTTGGCACTACCAGCAGGAGCCCTGGCTGTCAGGCTCGGGCTACCAGGCCAAACACACTGGGAGCGGTTCCAAGCCCCCAATTTATATATTTGTAAAAGATGAGCCAATTTCCAGGCATATCAGGGCTGCATAGCAGATATTATCTGGCAGAGCACCAGAAAAGGTTTGTGGAGAGGAATTTAGGCATCGGAGCAGTAATTTCCCTTACAAGAGAATGATGAGCTAGAGACAGAAACTTCAGAGACAGTTTGTAAAGGACTCAAAGGAAGTGGACCCAGGCTGGCCTGGCCGAAACTGGGTCTTGCGCCCTTTTCTAATAATTTCATGTAATATCTGGGCACGTGAACCAGAGGCATTGCTTTCAGTTTTTGCCTACAGAGTCAGCCCCTCACCATTACTGACAGTTTGGAGCATTTCTCCCCATTTGTGGCTCCTCTGTAACAAAAGGGATGTGGGCTGCTAATCATTGCTGGCCCCTTCACTAGAAACATGAGAACAGTTGTCCCAGCCTCTCAGAACCAGTGAGTGAAATCGGGATTTCAGTCCAAATAGGTCTCACTCTGCATTTATGCATTTTCCATGATCCCTGATTCTCCATGGAATGGACTAGAGGGATGCAGCTGCATTGGGAAGAAGGGCCAGTGAGTTCAGTTCAAGAATTTCTGGGATTTATACTGGGTCATAGAGGTTCTCTCCATGGGACTAAATAAAGACTCCTTTAAGGTGATATCTAAGTTCATAGTCACTCAAGGAAAATACTTATAAATTTCCCAGCTATAGGGACACATGTCGAGACATACCTGGAATCCAGCTTCAGAGTGGGGGTTGGGTCACAGTCCAGAACGCTTCACATGGACAGGAAGGTCAGAGCTATCTAGATACAAACAAAAAGTGTTTTCCAGATGGTAAAGGGAACCTGACTGTATGGCTATTCCAAGAAGCAGGGACAGGAAAATACAAGCAGGATCAAGTACCAATCCTGGGCTTTCTATCATAAGTAAAGCTTCCCTGGGAAAATAATTCTGAGGAACGCTGAGCTTCCGCTCTGCTCACTTTACTTTTCTTCCCCCATAGTCATCGTGGTATTGTTCGTGACCCTCAGAAGGCAAAAGAAAGAACCGCTGATCGTCTTTGAGGAGGAAGATGTGCGTGAGAACATCATCACCTACGATGATGAAGGGGGTGGGGAGGAAGACACGGAAGCCTTTGACATCGCCACCCTGCAGAACCCTGACGGCATCAATGGATTTATTCCTCGCAAAGACATCAAACCCGAGTACCAGTACATGCCCAGACCTGGGCTGCGGCCAGCACCCAACAGTGTGGATGTGGACGACTTCATCAATACGAGAATACAGGAGGCGGATAATGACCCCACAGCGCCCCCTTACGATTCCATCCAAATCTATGGTTACGAAGGCCGGGGCTCCGTGGCCGGGTCCCTGAGCTCCTTAGAGTCGGCCACCACGGATTCAGACTTGGACTATGACTACCTACAGAACTGGGGGCCTCGTTTTAAGAAACTTGCAGACTTGTACGGTTCCAAAGACACTTTTGATGACGACTCTTAACAATAACGATACAAATTTGGCCTTAAGAACTGTGTTCTGGCGTGCTGAAGAATCTAGAAGATAGGTAAACAGGTATTTTTTTAAATCAAGGAGAGGCTCGTTTAAAGTAAGCTAAGTTTTACAGAGAGGATACATTTAATAAAACTGCAAGGACATCAAAGTGGTAAATACTGTGAAGTACCTTTTCTCACACACAAAAAAGGCAAATACTGAAGTTGTTTATCAACTTCGGTAGAGAAAAAAACCACTCGGCATACAAGATATTTCAGTGAAGGAGAAGGCTCACGGTGAACTTACAATGAAGGGAAATTGTTTATGTGTTATGAACATCAAGTCTTTTTTTTAATTTCTTCTTCTTTTTTATTTGTCAAAGAAGCTTCCACAAAATTAGAAAGGACAACAGTTCTGAGCTGTAATTTCGCCTTAAACTATGGACACTCTATATGTAGTGCATTTTTAAACTTGAAATATATACTATTCAGCCAGCTTAAACCCATACAATGTATGTACAATACAATGTACAATTATGTCTCTTGAGCATCAATCTTGTTACTGCTGATTCTTGTAAATCTTTTTGCTTCTACTTTCATCTTAAACTAATACGTGCCAGATATAACTGTCTTGTTTCAGTGAGAGGCGCCCTATTTCTATGTCATTTTTAATGTATCTATTTGTACAATTTTAAAGTTCTTATTTTAGTATACATACAAATATCAGTATTCTGACATGTAAGAAATGTTACGGCATCACACTTATATTTTATGAACATTGTACTGTTGCTTTAATATGAGCTTCAATATATGAAGCAATCTTTGAAATAAAAAAAAAGATTCTTTTTTAATTCTGGGTTTGATTCTTAACATTGAAAAGAATTACGTATTTCTAATGACCCATTTATATTTCTAATTTAAAATAATTGTTATCTTTTAATAACACTATTTATGATCTGTTCTGTCTGCTGCTTTTATTATTGTTTATTTAAAATCAAATATATTCTAAATTTTTTTTTTTTGCAGACAAGATTCTGTAACATCCTGTTAAACCTTTTTTGTATATTCTCGGTGTTAGCTTCTTGACTTCTCTTCACATACATCTGAAAATGAAGGCTGCAAAAGATCTAGGTCAGTCAATGATTTGGCAATATGTGTTATATAATACTCATTTATCTTGTATACCAACAAGTTGGTGGTTATGAAACAGATCTATGAGACTGAAACTGTCAGAACTCAAAGGTTCAAGATGTTGATATTATGCCTCCTACCGAGCATTTGGGGGAGCAAGCTGTCAAACGTATAAATTAGCCACATGTGGCTATCAGAGCTCCCCTGTTCTATTTTCCCTACCCCCTGATCTTGCCAGACTATCATGACTCTGACTACTTGGTTGGGTTCTTTTATTTCCTACTGTACTTTTAACTCCTCTTAAAATAATATGACTTTTTAAGGAAAAGTGAATTCATTTCCAAATCCGTGTTTTGAAAGATGCCTTGGGCCATAAGCTTAGAACTAAGGCAGGGACCATGGTGGATTTGGAGGGTCAAAGTGCTTTGATCCGTGAGTAAGCCTCCTATGTCTTTGCAGTCCCGACTAGCTGCCCGGGGACTGGGACATCCGGGAAGGTCATTTCACCTGCTCTGTTGGACCAAAGGTCAAAATGTAGCAATACTCGGGGAAAGACCACACAAAATCATGCTGCAAGTGTCCGTCGCCCTCTTTCCCCTCAACACAGGGCACATGCTTCCTCCTGGCTTGCAGAGAATTGTTAAGTTGTCTTTTATTTTTACTTGATTGTGAACTTTGTTTAAAACATTTCTGGATATTCTGCTCCAGACTATTTTTATGACTCAGTCAAAATGCATACAAAGAGAAATGTTTTTATGAAGTGCTCACTTCCATTTCACTTTGCATTTAAAATCAAATTGTCTGAACACTTCAATGGAATAAATTCTGTGGACAATGTCACTTTGGAATCTTTCATTTCAGTGAAGGATTGTACATGCTCAATACTTCCATAATTGCAGGTTTGGTTCATTTTTATATAGTTTTTGTAATCCAAAGAATATTTTGCTAGATTTGCACAGATCTCCAATTGAATTTGAAATGAAGAAGTAACTCAAAAGGAATATGATTAGCACTTAAACAAGCATACAGCTGTAAGTAACCCCATCAGCTTGGATAATCCTTTTTTCTAGGAATGTATTTGGATTAAATTTGACAACATTTCACGTTTTTATGTTAAAAGTTTTTTTTTAAAAAAACTGTCTACTTTTCAATAGTTAAAAATACTTGTTTTTTTTCTTCCTTTTTATCTTCTCTCTCGCTCTCTCTCTTTTTTTTAAACTTTAAGCCTCTATTGTTTGTAGAACCTCTTAGAAGCCTGGAAATAAAATGTCTTTCCCCACTAGTGGAGTCCTTTTTTATTTGGAACATATTGCCTTAAAAGCAATCTTAGTTTAAGTGGTCCTTTCTTATTTTGATATAAAGTAATCACAGCTTTCTGACATCAATTCAGTTAAAAGAAGGAACATTCACTTCTCTGCTCTTGTCCTTGAGTGCTGGGTATTGTTTACACATTGGTGGTTCATTCATTCATTCATCACAATGTTTGCTACCCTGTTCAAGTTAACTACTTATGGATACAGAATAAATTACAATACCTTCTTGACATCTTTCAATCTCTCCAAACTTGTCCCAAAGTATCAATCTTCTGTCTTGGTATCACCGGTGACCTCTTCACACCCACTTCCCCACACAGTGCTGCAGAATATTTTCTGTCCTTTGAAGTTGAAGGGACAATACAAATAAAAGATAAAATAGGATTGATGAGATGTTGACTGTGAGTTGGGAAGTAGATAACTGCAATTATTTGGGACATATCTTGTGTTCAGAAAAATTATACATTATTGGTGGATGTTCCCAGGGATACTATAGAAGATAAAAGAGCAGATTCTCTACCTTGCTTAAAAAAACATTAAGTAAAGTAAAAGTAAAGGCCCTCCCGTTGATCTTCGATTTGCTCGAGCGGGCCCAGTAACATCTCCATTGGAGACTTTGTTGTTACTGTGTCTGGCATATAGAATACATCACGGGGAGCTTGCCAGACTCTGCCGTGCGGGGGAGATACTCTCAGTAGCTTGCCGGGCTCTCCGAGAGGGGCGGAGGAATCGAACTCGGGTCGGCCATGTTGGCTGTGTGCAAGGCAAACGCCCTACCGCTGTGCTATTGCTCCAGCCCGTCATTAAAAATATACATTCCTGGTATCCAGAGAATGTTATTCTGCATTCTTGGAAACTTCTCAAGAATATATGAAATTGTTCTTGGGTGTTTGTCCCATCTTTCACTTTTTTGGGGAGCCTTGGTAGATACTGAGTGGAGGAATTGGGATCTCTAACCAGAAGCATGGACAAATTATAGTCCAAGTGCAAGACAGATTTGGAACATATAATCGAGGACACCATACCAAGAGGATGTCTTTCAGCTAAAATGAGATACACTGAGTGGGCATGGAAACCAGGAGAGGAATCTAATTGTGCAAGGCCTTCAACCTGATCTGGATTGTAGTGTCTTGGACCCTTAAGAGAGATGGAAAGCTTTTAGCTGTTCTCTGCCTCCCAATGTCTTCTCCGCAAAGAAAACTCTAGAACTATTAACACTCAGTTGTTAATAGTTTCTATTAATGCATAATTTCCTCCCTGAATCCCCAAGGTTGAGTATAATAAACTAAAATGCCCTGCTTTATTGTTGGCATGACCATGTTCATGAAAAAGTCCAATTTTATCTCACCCCATTTTCTTTTTCAGTGTGCTACATTCAAAACCTACCAGTCACCTATCAATTCCTCAAAGAAACCAAAGTGCTCCCCCACTGCATTTTCTCTCTAAATCAGGTCACTCTTTGTTGATTTCCACTGTATCAATTATACCTTTTCAAGTTATTTTGTCTGTTGAATTTTTCTATGCTCGTGGATCTGAAGTTTCCACCAGAAAGTACACTCCAGTAGGGCACAGATCTTTCTGAGGCAAACCTCAACATGCCCCCTTCTGCACATAGTGTTTGAAACATCCAGGTGTACAATTGCAGCTTCTTGAAAGAATGATTGTCTACAGATTAGGAAGCGTTATCAGCTCTTAATGGCTCATTAGGTGGCCAGTTTGATTTTAAGCTCCTTTACCTGAAAATTGGAATGGATTGTGTTTTTGGTCATTGAGATTGTACATTCAAAAGGAGCTCAAAGGAGTTGAATTGGATTTGGCATGGATTAGTACACTGGAGGTGCTTGTGTGGCAGCTAGATGAAAGTGTCAAGTTGGTAATAAGAAACAGGGATTTGCCTCTCACTCACTTGCTGTCATGAACAGGGCCAGACATGTAGATTGGGAGTTGTCAGCTGGTAGCTGAATCTCAGGAGTGATGGTGAGCCTAATTGGGTTTCTCTACTCTCTCCCAAACTTATAGGAGCATGTTACTGGTGAGATCAGCCTGTTTGGTATTGAAGAGTAACGATGAACTTAGTTTTATGAATAAAGAATTAGTAAGCACAAAGCTTATCCTTGTATGTCAAATGCTTTGACAAATAAGGAGGGGGTGTTAGTTAATTTGCTCATTTTTACATTTGGTTAGTGATGCAGTTCTGAACGCACATCATGTGAAGTGCCATTCTAAGGAGCCTCATTCCCACTAGTGCTTTCATTCCCTCTGAGATAATAGTCCACAAGCCCAGTATTGTTCTGACGCAAATCACAGAGCCTCTGTCTCTCTTGAAAGCATCCTCAGGAAGGGATTTGTCTAGACTGTAGGGGACTAAACGCTTCCTTGACCAAAGGTCTTACACTTTTAATATAGAGATAACAATGAATCTTGCTCATAAGCAGTGATTTGGCAGAACCCTAGTTGACAAGAAGCAGAAGGAGGGGAGAGGACTTTCTCACCTCCTTGGACTAAGTGGAGCATTTCAAGCAAGTACTCTCCAATGCCAAGCCCAGCTCCAATGGGCTGGAGCAATAGCACAGAGGGTAGGGCCTTTGCCTTGCCCACGACCGACCCAGGTTCGATTCCTCTGTCCCTCTCAGAGAGCCTGGCAAGCTACCGAGAGTATCCCGCCTGCATGGCAGAGCCTGGCAAGCTCCCTGTAGCATATTCGATATGCCATAAATAGTAACAAGTCTCACAATGGAGACATAACTGGTGCCCGCTCGAGCAAATTGATGAACAATGGGAGGACAGTGCTACAGTTCTACTCTCCAATGAGCTTGACCTCTGGCTCCAGGGAGACCTCTGCTTGCCTAAGCTGCCTTCCAGAAAGATCCACAGGATGGGGTTAAAGTCATTTCTGCTGGGATTGGAAATGCTTAAACAACACAAACTAAAAAGAAGGGCACTTTCTAGTTGTGTCTATTAAGTGTTACAGAGAGGTTTGATATTCCATCCTTCCACCCTCTTCCTGAGAATAATATTGTGTGAAAAAAAAAGAATGAAGAAAACTTAATGTCTGAAGCTTCTGTCAGGTCTTAATGAGCTAAGAGTAATAACTGAATTTGATTTCTTGCAGACTAGCTCATCTCATCACTTTTTAAGATCAGAGTCTACCATCCTTGTTGGAGTCTGATTATGGATATTTTGGTACATTTTAACGCTTTTTATAGTTCTTTGTCTCCTTATTCAACTGATTTCAATTCCCTGATTATCTCTTAGGAATTCACAGGTCCAATGCTAGTCCGAGGCTCATCGCTTGTTTAACTTTCATTGCCTACTCAAGAGTAAAAGCAATCTACCCTTTGTGGGTACGGCATTCAGTGCACCCTTGCTTAAACCTGACTCCAATACTTACAAGCTGTATGTCTTGGACTGGTATCTGAACCTCTCTGAAGTTCAATTTCAAAAAAACAAATGTGAAATAGAAATAAATCCTGTGTTGCCAGCAATGGTAAGAAATGAATGAGCTCAAATTTCTAGAGCAGCAGACAGTTCCTAGACAGTGTGGGACACACACTGAACACAAGGTAGTAATTATTTTGTTAGTAACATGTTTTCTAAGCCCAAATTGCAGAGCAATGTAAGGGAAGAATATACCACTTACACCCCTCCATTCATCTGCAAAATCAATTCTTTGTCATCTCCTGATCTAACAGTGAAACGTATTTTAGCAACCCATAGTTTATGTTGGAAACTGATCAATAGTCTTATTAACTATTCTTTTAAAATCAATCACTTTTGTATGACTATAATATGTAGCAGAATGTTTCAAAGCAACAAATAATATTGCTTTGGGGAGGGGGTATATTTGGAGGTCGTGCCAAGAAGTGCTCAAGGATTACTCCTAGTTCTGTGCTCAGGCATCACTCCTGCATTGCTTAGGAGACTAGCAGGAGATCAAACAAGAAACCACCATGTGTAAGGCAAGCACCTTACCTCCCCGTACTTTCTCTCAGCCTTAAAATCTCTTTTAAATGTGTTATCAGAGTACAAATTTACGTGATGATGAATTAAATTTAATTTTATAGAAATTACATATTAAATCATGTTTAAAATCTACAAAAGCTTGCCAAAGAACAACGCACACTTGACATTTCTAGTATAGGGAATTTCATATTTGATCTATTTCGCTCATTTGTTCAACAATGGTGCACCTCTTTTTCAGACATAATTCTATGAAAATATTTAGATTTAAAGACATATAATTTCATTAGAATGATTCTTTTTAAATAAAAAGTCTAATGGGTTTCACCACAATTTTTACTTCATTTAGCATTTGAGGAATTGAAAATTATTTTATGATAAGGTAATTTTCTTCTTTTTTTTAAACAGTGGGATATGAAAGAGATAGTAGTTCTTGGAAATATAAATTTCAAGTTACTTACTCTTATGAATTTACAGTAAAGAAGCATGAGTTTCCTGAGGATTATCTAGCAGATCAGACCAGTTCTCTGGGGGCTTACACCTGTCTTACCCTTCTCACTTTAGATTCTTAGTACAAAATAAGTGCAGAGTACTATGGACAGATATATATAGACAGATATAGGGGAGAGAAATAAAGTTTTCCTTCCCCATCAGTGGTGTAGCACTCTGCTCTCAATGCATGGGTGAGACTTTGCCTGAATGTCTTCTTTTCACCCCTTTTACCCTCGTTCTTTGATCAAACCATTAGCATAATTTAGATTTAGACTTGTCAGCCCTAAAGACTACTTCCTGCAAAATCACCCCACACCCCACATGTGCTCAAATCAAATTACACTGAACAGATCATTGAGGAGCCATCAACTAATAGTTGCAAGCAGAGACCCTGAAAACTTCATTTTTTGTGGCCTTATTTTCTCTCTGCTGTGGAAACAAATCCTCAAGCTTAAAGTGTTCAAAAAACTTATGTACCAGAGTTTAATAAAAAAAAAACTTATTGGCTTCATAG